GATATAATCTTCCTTGAGCTTATCTATAGTTATATATTAATATATTATAGCGAGTTATTAGGTTAGTTTGTTATAAGAGCTATATCCCATTATATTAGTATATTTCTTATCTATTTATAACTTCTTTTATTAATAAGAGCTAGCTATATAACCGGGGAAGCTATACTTAAAGTATAGCTTCTTCTTTTATCGCTTACTTATAACTTTCTTAGATAACTTACTACTATATAGCTTCCCTTAATAACTTAGTTTCCGGAATATTATATTAAGTTCTATTTCCTAAAGGTAGAATAGTTTCTTATTATTACTCTCCTTTCCTTAGTATATATATATTCCGGAGTAGTATTAGCTTTTCTTTTTAAGTGCCCTCTTATAATTTTAGTTATTAATCTTAATAGCTATCTTAATAAGTTCTTATAAGTTAGTAAGCGTATCTAATCTTACTATCTTATCTTTTACTCTATCTTTTAACTCTTTATAGTATTATACCTAAAAGGTGTTATTATTCTAGCTAATCTAATTTATAAATTACTAGAAGGTAGTAATATATATAGTCGCTAACCTAACTTACTTTAAGTTCTAGATATTCTATTCAGTAGTATAGTTCTAATTAATATCGCTAAAGATATAGTTAATCTTATACTTAAAACCTTTAAAAGTTATAAAGATCTTCTAGGATTTCTTAGTTATTACTATAAAGACTTTCCTATCCTTAGTTTAGTTCTAAATATAGTCTAAGAAGAAGGTCTTAATCTAGTTAAAAGTAGATCCCCGGAGAAAGGATAAAGCTTAAAGGACTTTATTAGTTTCTATAGTAAACTAATAACTATTAAAGCTTATATAAAGCTTAACTTATATAAAGTATACTCTAAGCTTAGATCAGTCTCCGCTATAGAGATCCGGGGCAGTGATCTTAGGTATATTTTTAGTATTAAGAGTCCTAGTAGTAGCTAGGTTATCACTTAACAACGATCCTTTAATAGAGGATATATTATCTTCATAAGTTAGTACTTCTAATAAGAAGGTACTTAAAGTATAATAATCCGGTATTTACTTACTATAAATACAGAAAGCTATAGTTAATCTCTAATAATCGAGAGGTAAGTATATTATATAGATAGAAGATAGTTACTAAGTATTAGAATACTATTTAAAGTTAAGTATAAAGCTCTTATCTAATAGTAGATATACTAGTCTTATATAGAACCTTTATTCACCTTAGATCCCTTAGGATACTAGATCCTTAGATCTTTAGATCTGTTTTCTTATAAGGGGATCTAGGGATCTAAGGATCTATTATATAACCTATTATCTACTATAATCTAAGTAATTATTACTACTAAAGTGTGAGTATATAGTAGTACTACTCGCTTGCCTTATATTATTCCCTAGCTAGTACTACTCTATTAATAGTACCGCTCTCTTATTAGTACTAATACCCCTATAGTACTACTAATAGTTTTATTATTATATAGGTGCTAACTGAACTGTAGCGCCAAGGGGTCCGTAACAATAACTATTCGTTATAATATATCTTCTATTACTTCTTTTTCCCTTACGCTTTTAATAATAAAGGCTCTAAATAAACTATAAGCTCTTTAGAGAGGTTAACTTAATAAAGAATATAAGGTTTATTAATTATAGTTAATTTATCTTTAATATTATATCTTTAACGCCTTAAATTATCTAAGGAAAGGTAATAGTATTTACTATTATTAATAAAGTAAAATCAAGTAGTATAATAATAGGAACTAATATTATAAGCCTATTATATCTAAATAGTAGTTATAATCTTATATATAGTTCCTTTTTCAGCTTCTTAATTCTTTTTAACTTCCTCTAAAAAATAAGTCGTTATAATATATAGCTTCTTTACTATTAAGCTTTCCTTATCTTAATATATACGCTTCGGAATAATAATAACTAAAGCTTTTAAAGTAAGAGAGTCTTTCTAAGGTAATCGAACTATATCTTAAGGTATTTATATAATATTAAAGTATATTTAAAGCTTTCCTTACTTTAATTTCCTTATAATTCGAGCTTATTTAATAAAGTAGTTAGAATTAGCCTTATTAATAGTATTATATTCTATAGGGTTTTAAATAGTTCTATAGGTATTATACTAGTAAGTATAATCTCTCTATAGTAGAGAAATACCTCTTAACTTAATCATAGTATCTACTAATATCTCTATAGCTTCCTTAATAGATTTATAAGTAACTCTAATTTTTAGCTTATTTATTACTTTCTTTATTATACTACTTATTCGTATACTATTAAGGTACTATTAAATCTTAAATTTTATAGCTTATATTTTAATTTATAGAGGTATAAGAGACTATATAATAAGAGGTTCTAGTAGGGAGAGAGCTTATAAGATTAATAAAAGCTTAGAAAGTAAAGGGAGAAATAGTAATAGAAGTTCTACTAATCTTATAGTTAGTATAACTACTCTTATACTTAAATTAGGTATAAGAGCTAAAGTACTAATAATAGAACTAATAGAAGAACTATTAGTTTAACTTATATTAAGTTTAAGACTTATTTTAGGTACTACTAGTAGTAAAGGAAGTAGAGTATATAAAGTCTTCTTTTTAGAAGCTTTTACTTAACTATTTCGAGCTTTCTTTAAAGGTATATTCGAGAATATTAAGTAGAAATAAGAAGAGAAGTTTAAGAGCTTTAAAATAACTTAATTCTGAAGAAAATTAATAAAGATTTAATAGAGTTATAAAAGTTATAATTCTAAGTTACTATCTTTTAGTAGGGTCTATAATAAAAGTTAGTAAGTTAGTATTATTTACTAAAGAATCACGCTAAACTAAAGAATAGCTATATCAAAAGACAGGGCTATAGGTAAGAAAAAAAGGCGATCTCAACCTTGCGATGTGAAACAGAGTATCACATATGTCAAGTCTGAAACTTGTGTCTTCGTCAGTCCAATAGACAAATGCCAAACAGCGAAATATTCCAATGAGCGCTACACCATATCCTCCCACCTTTCTCGCCACAGTGACTCCTTGTGAAGTTGTGAGAGCACACAACAATGACAGCACCACCTCCACCACCACCACAACCACGACCTAGGATAATAATAAGGCTAGCTCGGGTTAAGAGCTTCTCGGGGAGTTAAAAGTTGGAAAATATCGGACGCTATCAGACCCGCGAGGTGACACAAGCCAGACAAGGCGGAATCCGAAGGAGCGGTTCTCCGCTTTGCTGATCGTTGGACAGAAACGAGTTTGAATTTGTATCTTCCCACAACCAGAGCTTTGATGCAGCTGGCCGGCCTTAAGGCACAGGTGCAACGTGTTTCTTGTTCGAATTGGAATCATAAAAACATGAGGGGATGGGATGACAAGCCTTGCTTATCTCACATGTCTTGCATGTGGCTTCTGTCGGGGCAAGCCGTTCACGACTTGTGATTTGAATACGAAGTGACAGGCCAGCATTTCGGACTGTTTCAGACCAAATGTCTCACTACCAGCTACAGAGAAGTGCAGCCAAAGCTGAGTGCAAGTTGCATGAGCTATTATTGCAATCCTCTCGATCTTTAGTGCTGGGGACAAACGAAAAGTTTGTTATTGTGAGTGATATTAGCCTTTAATCTGAACGATTTTTGAGTGTTCAACATATTGGATATGTCTGCCTTTTCTTTTGAACTCGGGACAGACCTCTTGAGACGTATTCGGAGCATCTGTTCAGGGCTTCGTATTCTCGTTCCACAAGTCCATAGTGGTGCTTTTCCACAAACTCATATATGCCTTATGTTCAGCATTCGCGCGCCGCTCTCCTGATCAAGAAGACGTCAGACCGCCACCTCTCAATAGGGGGATTTAGTAACTGCGTATTTCATATGAACTGAGTTCGCCGCTATACTTTATTTTGTTAAATGCACAGAACTTATATATTCTTCGGATTTGGATATTTAGTTATAAGTATCTTATACTTTAAACCCTAAGTTTAAGTTATCGTTTTAGCCTCTCTTAAATATTATATATTATTAGATATCTTACTTAAATAATATACTTTTTTATTAAGTCAGTTTTACAAAATATATAGAAGTATATGATTTATACTTTGTAATTTAATTTTAAATTATAAGCTTATAAGGGTTTTAACTGTATATTTTATAAGTAGAGATATCAAGGTTTTTCTAAAGACACAGAGCTTCCTTAGTAAGATTTCTAAAATAGGCAACTTTTCTGAAGTACATAGTTCTGAACTTTGTTACTTAATCCCCCTTATACACCTTTACTTTATTACACGATGCTGTCGCTGCATTTAGCCTCTTCGCTCCCAACCACTTCACCCCATCATTTTGATGATTCTTTCACTCCTTCCGGTATTAGTCCATTGATTTCCACCTCCCTCGTTGTGGGAGCTATATACATCCAGATGTCTCTCCATGCTGCCATCCCTCCATTTCCTCCAGTGAATATCCATGCGGATCTCCTGGTAAGTAATTCATAGCTGCTGCCTCATCTTTTCCCTCTTATGTCGCAGAATCTGCTGTAGTCTCAAAGAAATTCGTATCTCATGGAAATACGCAATCGGATCGCAGTCCAGTTGTCATCTGCCGATTTTCGGAAGGCAGCCTTGCTGGAGTGTTTACCTCGAGGAGATGTTATTTGTGCCGCGATTCGGAACAGACGTCGGCGCGGGCACAATCATCTTCAAAACTACTGAGCGTTGACGTTGAGTTAATCGTCCGGCCGGGATCGACAGTCATCTGGAAGAGGAGACTGGCTCGACGGAGAAAGAGGACCTGCCGACTGCAAGGCGTGAAGTGACTCGTGGTCTGGCCCGTACATGTTTGCTTCACTGTTGATAGCCAGTAAAGGGGGATCGATACAGTGACGAGGTTCAACTTTCGGAGGTCCACATAGCTGCTGTTATAGACGACGCCACGGCCAATGTATTGCAAACGATCCTTATGCTCTGAGTAAATGGCCAAGCGTGGTAACTTGTTAGAGGTTGGGCTAGTTCGTCCATAGATTTCAGTTGATTCCCCGTTGAGCTATTGGACTTTCTCCTACAGAGGCAGTCTCCTCACAACCCAAACTAGCTTCGGGTAGGTTCACCCTAACACCACCATGAGTGATTGCCATAACATGATTCCAGTCTTCGATCTCCGCAAGACGTAAGAGTCCCTGGTCAAGATGAAGTGCATCATCATGCCCCTGTCCTTTACCCGATAGAATAGCACCAGCATTGTTCTTCAAAAGAACATGATACATCTTCGTATGTACCTTCTTCATTGCATGACGACTGAATCCACTTTCTGATTGTCAACCATGCCGCTTTTAGCAAAACCACAAAATTCCGTAGACCACTTCCATCTCCTTGCTCTGTACTGACAACAACAAAACCATAGCTGGTGAACTCTCCACATAAAAGATCATTGCGTTTTTGGGTCGATCCAAATCTGTGGCTGAATATAAGAGAGGGAAACAGGGACCCATTGCGGTTGATTTCTAGCTCGTTTCTTGGTCTGCCCTCTCCGGCGGTCATAAGTACTTAACTACAAATCCACAAAATCGTAAAAATCCTTAAACAACTTCAAGAATGGTAGAGGTGTCTCCTTAGGTGATCAAATTTGGAAAGATTTAATTAACAAATGTTGATATCCACACAGCTCAACAGATTTTCGTGTTCTGTCGATATCGGCCTGTTAATTCACCGCCGGAGAGTCTGCCCTTCTCTGGTTTTCTTGTCCGATGGCAAACGTTGAGCGAATGTAGCGTATCTGGACGCAAGGAGAGTGATGAACGCAGTAAGTCATGTTCTAAACTGTCAGTACAGTTGTTGAACTATCATACAGCAAGAATCCGGGACCATACCACCCGGGAAGTGTCCACCCGGCGGTGCGGTAAAAACCAAGCTTCCCTTCGCAATCTACGATGTCCAGCACACGTCGATGCAATAACACACCGTAGAGAATTTAACAACACAGATATGACGTGCTTGAACTGGAACTTCAACCTATGCCTATAGCTTGTGAAAAGCGACCTCACTTGGTGTATCTTTCCGCCACTTTTTCTGATATGAACGGCAGTAGAATGATCTACTGTTCAGAGATGTAATCGAAAATCGATCAGCCGAACCGGACCATAAATCTGCAATTTTTACCTGACTTTTTGGATAAGATGAGGACAATGAAAGACGAAACGAACAAAGCATGCTCCATAAGAGGGACTTCGAGCTAAGATTTCCATTGGTCGTTCTAATAGCTACCATATCACGCGCAGGGCCTTTATAGCCATTGCTGAATTCCCAGATTCATCAGGTACCTTGTCATGCAATCTCACCTCGCTTCGATATCTCGCTTGTGACACACCTGCGACAACAGACCCTACCTAGCCAGCTGTAATAATACCATAGATCTATACACCTCCTTGGCCCTTCAATAAGTACAATCTTCTAAACGCCACCAGCTTTCGCCGAGTAAACAAATCGGCGGATATGTGCCTGTCACATCGTACAAGAGACCTTTCTACCTTGTCTTGCTCGAAACACCAGCCCCAATCACACCTGGAAGCTTTTCCTCTCCGATACTGTACATCAATCCGATTCCCCAGCTGACAATTCCAACTATGACCACGGTGAAGAGTCCAATGAGCCAGAAGGGACCACTAACGTCTTGTTTGTGACAAGCCGAGCCGCCCCATGATGACTCTCTGAAATACTTCTTACCACCAAATACGAATGACTCTCTCGAGCAGCCGCAAGTGAAACAATCTGCCTTGCTGGTCGAATACTTTTTAAAGCAGGTTCCACGACCACTGCAACTGTTTGTCGAGGACTCACAGGAATCCTTGGATGTGTGGCAGAGTGGTGGAAGTTTAGGCAGCTGCTTGAACGTCGAGTTACTGGATGAATTAAAAGGCTGCAGTTGCTTGGAGTTGAATGTTGGTGGCGTAGATGCCACAGGTGCTTCGGTGATTGGTTCCTCTGCGGCCTGTCTGCGAACCTTGCCAAACGACACCTGTGTAGGTACGTCGTAGGACCCGTACGGCTTGCTAGAGCTTTTTGATGTTCGAGATGACTGTGGCATCAAAACGACAAGCACGTTCATCTCAGCCTTGTGAGCGAATTGAGCAAACCTTTCCTGGGCTTCCATTAATTCATCGATCTGACTTTCGCCCTGTGTACTATGATCAGCAGGTGCAGGTTTGTGACTTGAACTATATTCCTACCTTGGTAGCCAAATCAAAATATATGGCATTTGACCGCCCGTTCCAGCAGTTCGTATCGAACGGGTTGACGGCATTACGCGGTGAGCAGTTGTACTTATCATGCCCAGACTGCTTCTGTAAATCGAATACTAGCTGCTTATTCGCAAGTCCTGACGGTGGGTGGGATATGGTAAATGCAGGCTCGATTGCGGACCATTTCTTCAGTAGAAGTTCTCCAGTTTCGAAAGATACGCCTTCAACAATCAGGACGAGCTCTGCTACTTCCACCTCCGTCTTGTCCTGGAACAGCGGTTCATATTGTCCTCCAAATTTGTTGACGTAGGAAAGAGTAGCATCACTAGCATCTCCAATTCCATGATACTGTGAGACTCCGAGGCGTTGGGCGAAGACTAATCTGGCTTGCTCTGGGGTGAGAGATGGTGGACTAGTGGATGATCTTATCGCCGCTTCGAAGATGTACACGCTCGCATTAGTTACGGCAGACGCTGCGCCAATGAAAATTGGCAACAGGAAGCTGTTTGTGAGCTTCATATTTGCTGCTGATGGATGGATGGGATTGTTGTTGCGCGAAGCTTGAGCTTGAAGCGACGATGTTGAAGCTTGGTGCTGCCTTATCCCTCCCCGTCAAGAAGGGCCTTATCCTGTTTGGGTTCTGCCCTCAGCAGCCGCCTTTCGTTGGAGTTCAACGAGAAACACTCAATCGCACCCCCACAGTACATACATACGCATGCAACTTCTGCGCACACTCTTCACGATCACATGGGGGAGCGAACGAATGCAGCGCCGTTCGATCTACTCGAATAGTCTGCCTGAACTGCAAGAACTCCACCATCACCATACCTGCCCGGCAATCCGGGCTCGCCACCGAGAAGGTGGGCCTTGACAGCCATGTTCCGCTTCATACGACCTCGGAGAAGTCTGATCTCCATGAGTAGACTGCCTTTGAAACTGGAGGCCCAGCATCAGAGAGGAGAAATTGCAAATATCCAGAAAGTCCGCTTCAAGAAGCAGCGACTAAGGCCAAAGTAGGTTCTAATACTCTTGCACCAAACAGCACTAATGGCCATTGCTTAAAAGGACGATTCTGATATATACTCTTGCCGTCTATGTTGGTGCATCGGCTTACTCTAGTATCGTACTGGATCCATTGGAAAGGGCTGCTGTGGACGCGTTACAACATCTACCAAATGAAGAGTTCGAGGAGGAGACCCCCCCTCTCTTCATCCCGTTCCCCGGCACAACGAAGCAGTTGAAACCTGTTCCATACCGTGGCAATGACCCTGAGTGGCAAGAGTTTCTCAAGTTCAGCAAAGATAAGAAGTTGGCCCAGAACGTTAGAGGTACGCACCTATTTTAGTTCCATTGTACCCACTGCAATTGACAACTTGAAGAGGAACTTGCAACTTTTGTCCAGTCAGTCGCCGTCAAACACCCGATACTATCGATCCGATGTGGAAAGGAAATGACGTTGAGAAGATATTGGCTTGATGTAGACTTCCCACAAGCTGCACCGCCAGGATTCGAGCGAAAAGGGTATGCTTCCCTGGTCCACTTGAGCTAATAAATCCTAACCAATCTTTTCAGTATCGAGATTGGAGATAACTATATCGAATGGACGACTCAGCCTGTAGACTCCCTCACCGTATTCAGGATTCGGCAGGCATTGTGGCCCTCCGCATTGGTTCAATCATTCTGGAGCTTCACGAAGGTTATGGTTATCGACGATATCAAACGCATTGCAGGAATGCTGGGAATCAGATCAGGTCCCACGCCACCATCCCTGGATCAATTATTAGCACGGCATCAGCAATTACTCAAGGGTCCCCAATCACCTCAGCTGCATGGCAAGGACAGCAGCCCGGCTCAACCCCCGACCATAGCTCAACCCTCGAAAGGTGTGCCTAGCTCTGCTGCTGAGAACCCCGCGCTGATGGACAAAGGCCCGGACGAAGAGGAGTTAGCATCAAAGGGAATGGCTTTCCATGCACACTTCTTTCGGCCAATAATGGCATTCAAGGCTAAATTGGCTCAAACTTGGAAGCCAGCACCAAATTATCCTCCACGGGGAAGTATTTTGGTTTCCGGAATGGTGGAATTAGACTCTCCCAGAGCTTGGCTCGTATTCGATGTGAAGGCGGCATGGGACCCAAAAACGAAAGAATACGATCCAAGGAGCATGTTTATTCAGCTCCGGCGGTTACAACCAAAGAAACAATCTCCTGTACAATGAGCGTTCACTGGCGCCTGTGAATAGGGTTTGTATCTTTGTGGCGTTTAGGGAGCGGGCATTGCAGGTGTTACTAATAAGTTGTGGCGTTTCGGGATATCCATATACCTTCACAGCGCTCTGCATGAAAATAAATAGCCGGGAAGACGACTGCGAACAGATAACAGGAGTAGGAGTTAGTCTTCATTAAGATATAATTAAGGAATGCAAGTTGCGTTAGGCCCGATAGCTGAATAGGCTTTCTTATTATTACATCTGTATATCTTCTTATATCTAGTAAATCGACTATTTATTATCCCATGGGCTGCTGTCGCTTACTAATCTTAGTGCGGCAGGGGTATAGGCCAATCAGAAAGCTAGGATTTTAGTAAGAATACTACTATATAATATTAGATCTATTAACTGCTATAAAATCTATTAAAATAACTCTCTTCTTTATATAACGAAATATTACACTTTTTATAACTATATTAAGACCTTTTCCTTAAAGGTTTAAGGTTACGATTTACTAAGATTTCACCTAGTATAACTCGCTTTATACTATTATACTTTTACTCTTTATAAGACTTACACTCCCTTACTTACGCTATATATACCTATGAATACTACTTTAGAGAAATAAGGAATTCCTTTATATTACTACTAAAAAGAGTATACTTTCATATGCCCTAAGGAGCTAGATTAGTATATAATAGTACTTGTATAATTTTCTTTCGGAATTTAACTTAAGTTATCTACTTCTCTTTAACTTTTATATTCTACTAGTAATAGTCTTCTACGTTCGTATATATAAAAAGAAAGTAGTAATTAATAAGAACTATATCGTGTACCTGGCGTACCTGAGGCACTCCCTAAGGCGCTCTAGCTAACTAGAGGCTACTTATATAACTAGAACTCCTAAAGCTTCCTCTTATAAAGGAGCTCTAGAATACCTTAATAAATCAAGACTTTTATATTATATAAAGCTTCTCCTTATAATACACGATAGTTAAGAGCTATATTCGCTTGTTTAAGCTACTATATAAGTATATTATATAGTATAAGTAGAGTTACAAGTAGTATTAAGAGATACTTATTATCATGTACCTAGCGCACCTGAGGCACTCCCTAAGGCGCTCTAGCTAACTAGAGGCTGCTTATATAACTAGAACTCCTAGAGCTTCCCCTTATAGGGGAGCTCTAGAATACCTTAATAAATTAAGACTTTCATACTATATAAAGCTCCTCCCTATAGTACATGATAGTTAAGAGCTATATTCACTTATTTAAGCTACTATACGAGTATACTACGTAGTATAGGTAAAGTTATAAGTAGTATTGAGAGATACTTATACTACTACTTAAAGAACTTCTTTAAATACCTCCCTAAACTTCCTAAAATACTCTTAATATTATTAGTTCTATAGAAAGCCTCTCTAATATATTAATATACCTTTAAGATAAGTTAATTAAACACGAGAGTAATACTCTTAATTAGAGAAAGTAGTAGCTTTAGTAGTAGATAACCTTCTAGTACTATACTAAACTTAAAGGAATCTAGAGATTCGTTAACTTTAACGCTAATAATATTAGAAATATTATTAAGTAATAACTGAATCTCCTTAGTATTAACGATTTTATATAAGAGGAGATAAATAGTCGCCTTAGTAAGTAGATAGTATTATTAATATAAGCTAACTTAGATTTACTAGTGAAATAGAATACTATTACTACTAAGGAAAGAGAAAGTATAATAGAACTACTAGTATTTATAAGTAAGCTTTTAGAAGCTAAGTTTAAAGATATTAAGGTACTCTAGGAAGTTCGAATAAGAGAGTACTCGAATAAGCTAGCTAAATAAATAGTGCTTAATAACTGTATTTAGAACCTCTTTAACTAGGTAAATAGTACTATTAGCTAGTCTATTCTAACTAACGTAATTAATAATAACACAGCTAAGGACGCCGCAGGACTATAAGCGCTAGTTAAGTCTATTAAGTATAATATAGCACTTTCAGATATAGTAGTACTAACCTCTATTATTTCAGATTATACTAATACACTTAGCCTACTAATATGTTAAGATAAGAAGTCGCGAATTAAACCTTATATATAATATAAGCTATAGTAAAAGAACTTCTATCTTACGAGAATATATAATATTCCTGATATATAAGAAGTATATAGTATACGAGCTTTCCTAAATGTAGTATTAGTTTAGTTAGAGACTTAGGCTGCTTAAGTACTTACTAATATTATAAGAGATAATACTCTAGGATATTAATATAGTATAACGCTAGAGAAGTATAATCTAGCGTTTATAACGAATATAGAAGAGCACTACCGGAATAAAAGCAAGGGAGCTAATAGTTTCTATATCACGCTAATACTAAGTAATCGTTCTAATACAGGAGGCTCGTAAGACTATTCCGGAAGTTCTTAGAATTACTTCTATTTAAATTAAAAAGATAGGAAGACTAACTACCTCTACGGAATTAGATATTAGTACTCTTTAATTAAGTGCTAGAAGCTCCGGTTTACTTATAATAGCTTTTAAGCTAATAGTATAAGATTCTATTTAAATAATAAGTAAATTAAGAGGATTCGCGAGGCGGCTTAGACGCTTAAGTATATAAAACTATACTAAGAGATCTTAAAGGAAAGTTAAGCTACTATCTTAGTTATATAGATCACTAGAAAGAAGTCTAGTAAAGACTAAGACTTATTATCTTAATATACTAAAGAGAAGTACCCCGGAAATATTAATATAGCTACTATTAATTTAAAGCTCTTAGACTTTAAAGAGATACTTAGAATCTATATTATAGACTTTATTAATATCTTTTATATACTATTAGAAAGTACTTTAGTAGATAACTATAGCGCTTAGTACTTAGTAAATTATAAGAGTAAGCTAGTTCTAAGTTCCTTTAAGAGATTAACTAATAATAACTATATAAAAACTAGAATATAATAAATTCTAGTAATTAGTAAAGAGAAATAAGTATTTAAAAACTCCTTAGTTAAGCTAAATAATCTAAATACTTAAGACCTATTACTTAATAATATTACTATAATCTGTAATTTCTATATTAATATTATTTTAGAAGTATTACTAAAAGACGCCGGGTTATAGTACTTAGGGAAAGATACTACTTTATAATATAAGGAGGTTTAGATAAGTATAGTTATTAAATAGCTAATTCGAAAGTTTAACTTAATTTTCTTTAAATATAAGCCTTTTAAATACTCTTATTACTCTTATAACTTAGTGACCTTAATATATACGCTTATTATAATATACTTAACTCTAAGTTATAGCTTAAATAAGTAAGGTTTCTAACTATTAAGTTAATTACTTAAAAAGTGTTCTATAACTCTATAACTATAGTACCTATATACTAGCTATTTAAGAGAGAGTACTTTATAAGCGCTACTTAAAGTAGAGAGAGGTATATAATTCGATAGAGTATTAAGAATTAAGTATAAAGATTATATTATTATATATACTAGAAATATTATATTAAGATAAGAGTTAGAGAATAAAGTAGCTAGGCTATTCTACTAAATCCTTTAAGACTTATTTAATTTTAATATAAGTTATAATAATACTTACTAGCTACTTATTATTAAGGATAAGTATAATAGGAAGCTCTTTAGCTATATATTACTAAGTAAGTTAGCTAGCTATATTATACTAATCTTAGAGAACTTTAAGTATTAGACTAAGTATTAATATAGACTATTAGTCTATATTATTTAGTATAATAATAATACTTTAGTTATAGCTATTCGAGGTATATTAAGGTACGAGGAATAGACTATAAGAGAAGAGATAGAGGTAGAGAATCCCCTATTATATACTAAGGAACTTATAAGTAGTACTAAGCGTATAAGATAAGAGATTATTAATAAATCTATTAAGATATATATTTAAGTAAACTTACTAGAGAAGCTTTACTTAGAAGTATATTATATAATAATCTACTTTTATAATATAAGTCCTCTTATATACTAAGGGATAAGAAGTCTTAACTAAGTACTCTAGGAATAGTTTTAGAACTACTTTTAGTAGTATAATCTACTAATAGTAAAGAAGCTCTTAATAGACTTAAGATCTAACTAAAGTAAAGTATATATATATAAAGTATATATATATCTAGTTATAACTAATAAAAAAGCTAGAAGAAGTTATAAAAGCTTTAAAGTTAGCTCTAAAGTATATATTAGATACTTAGTTAGTTATATTACTTCTAACTTATATAGGATCTAAGTGCCTTAGCTATATTATATAGTAATTACGCGTAATATATAGTTTAATAAGATAATATTCTATTTCCTTAAGAAAGAGAGGAAAGTTAGCTAACTTACTTCTACTTTAAGGGAGCTTATTAAGGACTTAGAAAAGAATATTATTACTTCAGATATAAAGTATAATATTAGTAATATTACTAATGTAATTATAGCGGAATATATAGCTAAACTAAATAAAGCTATAGTTAAGATTAATATTAGTATTAAGACTATTATACTAGTTACTAAGGAGGTACTAGAACTAATAGATATTACTCTAGTAGAGCTTCTATAAAGCTCGGGGGTAGTACTAAAAGTATAAGAACTAATAGAGATCAACTCGCTAGAGCTCTCTCAGACCTGGTTCTTTATAATAATAATATCGCCGATAGTAGTAGAGATCTAACTTCTTATAAGAGGTTAAGTTAAGGCGCTCTAAGAGATACTAAAGCTATAAAAACTAATTATCTCTTACTTTAGTATTAGAGAGATACTATAAGTAGTATAATACTAATCTAGGTATTAAGGAAGCGCGCTAATAAATATACCTTTAAGTTATATTACCTAGCTAATAGCTATAAGACCTTAAGTAATAAGTTACTAAGCTTCTAGAAGCTCCTCTTAAAGTAATAAGAACTAAGTTTCTATAAGTAGCTAGAAATAGCTACTAATAGTAATAAGTAATAGAATATAATTAAATCTAAGTAATATAAGAAGCTTAGAGAGAATAT